GGGAGCTGCTGCAGGCGCTGCACGGCTGCACCCTGCGCTCGGGGCAGGACAGCTTCACTGTCAGGAGGTGCTGCCCTCCTGCACCTGGAGGTATGGCCGGGATTGGGATTGGGATCGGGATTGGGATTGGGATTGGGATTGGGAGCTGCTGCAGGCGCTGCACGGCTGCACCCTGCGCTCAGGGCAGGACAGCTTCACTGTGCGAAAGTGCTGTCCACCCGCTCCTGGAGGTACAATCGGGATTGGGATTGGGATTGGGGTTGGGATTGGGATTGGGAGCTGCTGCACGGCTGCACCCTGCGCTCGGGCCGGGACAGCTTCACTGTCAGGAGGTGCTGCCCTCCTGCTCCGGGAGGTACGGCTGGGATTGGGATTGGGATTGGGATTGGGATTGGGATTGGGGTTGGGATTGGGATTGGGATTGGGATTGGGATCGGGATTGGGGTCAGGATTGGCATTGGGATTGGGATTGGGATTGGGATTGGGATTGGGATTGGGAGCTGCTGCAGGCGCTGCACAGCTGCACCCTGCGCTCGGGTCACAACAGCTTCACCGTCAGGAGGTGCTGCCCGCCCGCTCCAGGAGGTACAATCGGGATTGGGATTGGGATTGGGGTCAGGATTGGGGCTGGGATCAGGGTCGGGATCAGGGTCAGGAGCAGGATCAGGGTCAGGGTCGGGATCAGGGTCAGGGTTGGGATCAGGATCAGGATCAGGACCAGGATCAGGATCAGGATCAGGATCAGGATCAGGATCAGGCTCAGGATCGGGATCAGGATCAGGATCGGGATCAGGATCAGGATCAGGATTGGGGCTGGGATCGGGGTCAGGATCAGGATCAGCACGAGGATCAGGATCAGGATCAGGATCAGGATCAGGACCAGGATCAGGATCAGGATCAGGCTCAGGATCAGGATCAGGCAGATCCCAGCTCTCCCCAGATCCCATTCCCTCCCTCTCTCCGCAGAGATCTCGGACCTGCTGATCGCTCGCCAAGCCCAGGACAACGGGAAGCAGATCCTGAACCTGGCCCAGCTCAGCTTCCACCAGATCCGCAAGGACGAGATCACCCAGGTGCTGCTTTTGGGATCCCTGCGGGTTCTGTGTCCCTTTTGGGATCCCTGAGGGTTCCGTGTCCCTTTTGGGATCCCTGCGGGTTCCGTGTCCCTTTTGGGATCCCTGCGGGTTCGGTGTCCCTTTTGGGATCCCTGTGGGTTCCG